ACGTTTACCCAAAGAGAGAAGCAGATGATCAGATGAAGTGAGCTTATTAAAGATATAAACGAAGTCTATATTATATATATTGTAACGTTATGTTACGTCGGGGAAATCCCCCTTTGTTCAAAGTAAGGGGTGCTATGTACCGCGTGTACGAATACTCGCCAACATTATCTAGTAGAAGACAGATTTTATAATGAAACTATTGAAACGTTTATTGTCGTGATATGTCTTTGTAGCAAAGTATATATTTTATATCGAGCATCTATTCACGTGTCACGTGTTTTAACGAGCCGTCAATGGAAAAAAAAGGAAGAAAGAGTATGAATGCTGCATTAATCGAATAAACAGATCATTATACTATGTGGCATGTACTTCGTGAAATTGTTTGTAACGATTACTGTACACTGTACGCACATTTTTAGCATTGTCAGCCTAAACATTGAGAAACAAAATTCATGAACAATGTATTATCATTTTGCTCCTGTACGTCAAATAAATGTTTCACAGCATCGCTTTCTCGATGATTTTCTCAATTGACATGGGTATGGATTTAGTATTAGACTATGAATAAACTTTGAAACAATAGTATATTGTATTTTGTCCATTTTTGTATAGTATTTACACATTATTTTATAAACGCGATAGATAATTTAACAATTTACACTTTAAATTAAATATCATGCTAAACTTATTTTAATTATACACTTTGCCACTTTCCTTTTTCACCTTTTACTTTGCCTTCTTTTAATAATTTGTCAAGGTGGCGTTCTACATTGTAAGCTGCTACTTCCCACATGATTTTTGAGGTGCCCTAAAAATATCAAGTTTCTTATATGTGTTACATTCAGATAAATATTCTAAATCAAATAATAATAATTACCATGTACATATGTTTTACAATGTCCATTTCAGATATTGCCTTATTTTTTGCAGTTTCTTGTATAACACCTAAAATTTCATTTTCCCTCCTTAATCTATGTTCAATATAATACTTAATTACAGTTTCTGGGTCCTCTATTACTGGCCCATGACCTGGATACATTAGTTTTGGTTTCATTGCCATGATTTTTTTTAAGGAATCCATATATGTAAGCAAATCCTCAAAAATAGCAGTTCCCTCTCCCAAAACACAATCCCCACAACAAATTATATTCTCATCTTCTAATACAAGGGAAGCATGATCTGATGAATGTCCTGGAGTATACTCAACACGAACTTTTGCACCTTCTACTTCCACTACTTGTTTATCTTCCAAATCCTGCCAGGATATATTTTGCTCAGCTTGACTTTTTTTACCTTTGTCTTCTGGTGCTCTGGGTAATTTCCATGTTGTACTGTGATATGTTGGGTTCATTGTTCTTAACAAATTTTGAACAGATTTGGCACCTCCTAAGTGATCATGATGCCAATGTGTAATCATTAAATGTTCAATAGTTGCTTTTTCTTCTTCCAGTACTTGACGTAATACTTTTGTGTATTCTTTGGCAGTCTTGGCTTCGCCAGCATCTATCAATATACGTCTGTAAACAACATATTAATTTACATCAGGCATGTTTCTTCCAATTTTATTTTATAAAATAAAATTAACATTTCGCTACCTGGTGCCAGTACCAACGAGGTACGTGTTTGTACCCTGCAATGTCATTATACCTGGGTTGCACCCTAAAATTCTAATCACTGTGTCAGATAATCTTGATATTACAGGCAAATTTGTCAGAGACTTCATGATTTAATTTCGATCAGAATTTTGTCAACTATATATTATAACGTATTTAATACATACATGTACGCGTCCGTCTTGTGCCGTCAGTAATGTAATACTAACTAATGACTGTTGGTTATTATACCGAGATAAATATTTCACAATCTTTCGAGGTATTACATTTTCACGTTAAGTATATGATAGCAACATTATAAACTATAATAGGTGGCAACACTTATTCGTGACTCATCACGTGTGTACGCGGTGATCAACTATGTTCATAGAACAGTATAGCATTAGGGTACGTAGTGCACGTGTAACACGCAATTGTCGTTGTATGAAAAGAGTTTATTGAAACGAGATGCGGACGGATAATAGTATATTATTGTTTCAAAGTTAATTTGTAGTCTCACGCTAAATCCACATTCAAATCAATTGAGATAATTATGACAATTTTCTATTGCACGTTCTCACTGTTCTAGTGTTCATTTTATGTATTATTGCATTGTCTTTTATATTTAAAATTATCGTAACTGCGAAAAATTTTCAAATGCTCTTAAAAATATACATATGTACTTTGTTTAAATATCGCAGTCAGTTTATCCTTGGTTAGATATTCTATTACTCCTTATTTTATCGTGATTTTGTAATGAACGAATTTATCGAATGATTAAGTCATTTCGGTTTGTACACGTTCTCACGCAGAATATTTTGAATTTGACAATATTACTATTATATGTATAACTTTAACAAAATACCAAGTATAATCTAACCGTTATATCACGTTTGTTTTTCTGCCCATAAATTGTAAACTTGTATTGATTTATTATGTGTTAAAGGGATTAGAGGAATTTCTGCTTACATTTGTCATAATCTGTTTGATAATTGTTACTGCGTATTTAAGAATTCCTTTAGAAATTAAATTTCATTCGATGATTCATAGAACCGTTGACGTTTCACTAATTGCGAACCGTATATGTATAACTATTATCAAGATCAATATTGTACTTTTTATTCTTAAAAATGTGTAACAGGTTATTGGACAACTATAATTTATTCAATAAATTCATGAACTGTATGGTTGTAGTTATATTATTCTGAACATTCATCTCTCAAATTATTAATAAACCCTAATTTACGAGGTTCAGTCTATTCAACAGTAATAATTTTTCAAACACGTGAATGTCTGAAAACCAATCAGGGCCGCATGTATCACAAGGCACATTAGGCGCGTGCTGGGGCCTCACTCTCTATGGGGCCACATTTAAAAATCTTATTCCACACAAACAACAATATAAAAAACAGTCTAGTTATAGTTACAAAATTAAATACTCAGTTTTAAATATTAAATTCATAATATAAAAACAAGAGGCCGCTGGAAACAGAAACGCCAAATTTATGAATTTTAACTGAAATCTTTTGAGATCTCGTAATAATGTTGCGTCTATATAAGGCCTCCAAAGTATAAATGCGACCCTGAAACCAATTAGCAATACTACAATTAACAATATGTGTATATACAGTGACTCCCACTAATATTCAGAGGTTACTTAATCGATTCATGGAGAAACAAGCGACAAGCATCGAAAGATGTAAGAATCTTGAGATTTATTACAGTTATAGGTCGAAAGTCGTGAAATAGTGCGATTTTCACAATCTTTAACCTTTTGTAGCTCATAGCAACGTTAACCGATTTCAATGAAACTTTCAGCATGCATATAATTGACATAAATCTACAAAACGTATATTTCAATTTTTCATGAGAAGCTCAGATACAAAAGTTGCAAACAGCGATCTTTACAATTTTCTTCACGATTCCCACAAATTGCAATTATTTCAAAATATTTTGTACACATCATCTAGTATACGAATCCTTCTAACTTCTCAAAGAAACTCAAGTCGTTTGGTCCAATTTTAAAACAGTTATAATGTTTTAAATAGTGTCAGAATATTAGTGAGAGTCACTGTACATGTATATTATGTGGACAAACGGAGAGGGAAAATCTATTCTTTGTAAGTTAGACAAGGATAGCTAAGAAATTTTACGTAGCGGTCGTTTCGTGTGGAAGGATGCGTGACTAGGAAAGACGCCAACACCAGAAGTCTAGTTTACTTAACAATTATATTTTCCGTATTATCGCAGCATTATACACAAGATAACCAAAAAGAGAAAGTTCGCATTCCCTTTCCGCAACTTTTAGATCCTCGGTTTTAAAGTATATTTCAACCTACAACGTAATCTTTCTTAACCTAACTGTTGCCAACTTGCAACTAGTGACTATACATCTAGGAACTTTATTATTACACTAGTGGATTGTCACTACATTTAAAATAATACTAACGCCATCTTCTGTTTGGCCGCGCGAACTACCAACTTTGTAGTAGGATAACAGAAAGAGCAAAGAGGTCGTAGACAAAGAGGATAAATTGTGCGAGAAGGATAGAGAAGAAACGCTTCCTATTGGCCGAGTAGCAACTAAGATTCGGCCATTCTAGAATATATGGAGTTTACCTAAAGTATTCGTTAATAACTCATTATCTATAAATAATTTAAACACTTTTAGGATTGAATAATAAAATATGGACCTCTAGCAACTTTCACATATAAGTTTGAACACAATTATCCTTTTAATTAATTAGTTATTAACAATTTTCTGGCGAAGTGTCGAAATTGATATGACATTTTATGAATGTTCTTCATTAATTTCTCACTTTTATACAAATAATTTGTTTATTTTCAAGCATGCATCCGAAAGGTTATTTCTTTAGCTACTTTCTCGTATAATTTTTATTAACATATCTTTTCTAGTTTGGGAATTATTAATTATTATTTGCTAGAGAGTCTTTCTTGTTCCACATAAATCTTACATATTTTCGTCATTTTAATTACTAACGTGATTAATTTTGGTACTTTTAAGCATGAAGAATCTAGTGCAGATCTTTGTGAATAATATCCATTGCTTTTTGTGTCCATAAACCTTCTCCATTTTGTTTTATTAATAATTAAAGGCATAAGTGTTCCCATCGACGCGGTTGCAGTTAGCATTCACAAAATTATTTTGATAATTTACAATTTTTCAGAAACATTTTGCACACTTTTATGATCGAAGAATGTAGTATAGACTTCTACCTATATACTGGAAAAATTTTGCTCGGAACATCTCTAATAATTTACGAGTTATTAATAATTGTTCATAAAACTCGTCTCCTTTAATTTCATTTCATGGAACACTATCTCCAGTAATGTTAAATAACTATTAAACTACAAGCGGTATGTTAATAAAAATGCACGAGAATGTAGCTGAGGAAGTGAACTAAGAGTCTCATGCTTGAAAATTTATAAATTTTATGTTAATTTCTAAGAAAATGATAAAATTCACGAAAATCGTGGCTGTGTCTTACATCAGTTCTGACAGTCTGCCAGAAAATTGCTAATAACTAATTAATTAAAAGGAAAATTGTGTTCAAAACTATATGTGAAAGTTGCTAGAGGTTCGTACTTTTTTATTCAATCCCAAAAGTGTTTAAATTGTTTATAGATAGTGAGTTATTAACGAGTATTCCAGGTACGTAGATTTGTATTCTCGAGTGGACAGAACTTAGTTGCTTCTCGACCAATAGGGAACGTTTACTCTCTATCCCTCTCGACCAATAGGAAACGTTTACTCTCTATCCTTCTCGACCAATAGGAAACGTTTTCTCTCTATCTTTCTCGACCAATAGGAAACGTTTTCTCTCTATCTTTCTCGACCAATAGGAAAAATTTTCTCTCTATCTTTCTCGACCAATAGGAAACGTTTTCTCTCTATCTTTCTCGCACAATTTACCCTCTTTGTCTACGACCTCTATGTACATTCTGTTATCCTACTACAAAGTTGGTAGTTCGCGCGGCCAAACAAGAGATGGCGTTGGTTTCTCTGTCAATATGGCGGTGCGAAAATAATGACGTTTTGTTTGCGCGGAGCCTTTGTTGCCGTGTGAGTTGAGGTTGCAAATTGATCGAGGTGGGGACACGGTGGCAGTAGCAGGAAACGAACTTTTATATTGTTGAATGTTGATTTTAAAGGAGTAAGATACTCTTATTTCACTGTTCATTTTTGAAACTTGAATGCACACATTGTTGCAGTCTCTATTCTCGAATGCCACATCGATGGAAGCATTATTTCATATGCACAACATTGTTGTACGCGTTTCTTTTGAATGCAACATTGCTTGAAGCGTTATTTCGAACGCAAACATTATTACAAGAACTACGCTTGAATGTAACATTGTTACAAGCATCATTCTCGCTTGTAACATCGTTAACTCGTATTACTTTCGAATGCATAATGTTGCAAACGTGTTATCGCGTTTGCAACTTTGTTACGGAAAATCGCTCCCGAAAATTGCACATTGTTGCAAATGCGTTACAGGTTTGCAACTTTGTTGTCGACGAAAATTGCACATTGTTGCACGACGCCCCATTTTGCAACAATGTGCAATTTTCACGAGCGACTCTTGGCAACAAAGTTGCAAACGCGATTACTCCTTAGCAACATTGTTGTCGTGAGTCGCTCCCGAAAATTGCACATTGTTGCAAACGCGCGACAGGTTTGCAACTTTGTTGCCGCAAATCGCTCCCGAAAATTGCACATTGTTGCAAACGCGTTCTGGGTTTGCAACTTTGTTGTCGACGATCGCTCCCGAAAATTGCACATTGTTGCAAACGCGCGACAGTTTTGCAACTTTGTTGCTGCAAATCGCTCCCGAAAATTGCACATTGTTGCAAACGCGTTCTGGGTTTGCAACTTTGTTGTCGACAAAAATTGCACATTGTTGCACGACGCCCCGTTTTGCAACAATGTGCAATTTTCGTGAGCCGCTCTCGACAACAAAGTTGCAAACGCGATTACTCCTTTGCAACCTTGTTGCCGAAAGTCGCTCCTGTAAATCGCAAATTGTTGCAAACGCGTAACCGGGTTTGCAACTTTGTTGTCGAAAGTCGCTCCCGAAAATCGCACATTGTTGCAAACGCGTTCTGGGTTTGCAACTTTGTTGTCGACGAAAATTGCACATTGTTGCATGACGCCCCGTTTGCAACATTGTACAATTATCGGGAGCATTACTCGACAACAAAGTTGCAAAAGAGTAACCGCGTTTGCAACTTTGTTGCCGAAAATCGCTCCCGAAAATCGCACATTGTTGCAAACGCGTTACAGGTTTGCAACTTTGTTGTCGACGAAAATTGCACATTGTTGCATGACGCCCCGTTTGCAACATTGTACAATTTTCGGGAGCATTACTC